AAAAAAAAACCAATTACAATAATAAAAACATACAAAAGTTACAACACTAAATTAAAATCTTCCTGTGGATCGATGATTTAAACCTAGTGTAAGAAATTCCCACAAACTCAATTTCATTATAGATAAGTGTCAGTCTAGCAAGATAACTAACAGGCGACTGAAATACGTACAAAGTACGATGATATGGAATTGAAAGTAAGTGAGAATTTCTTACTTGACGAGATGGAACATGTATCATAAATAAAATTAAAATATTTGAACAAGTAACAATACCAGACAATACTTTATAAACAAAACACATATCAAACATTATTCTTCTCTTAGAAAGTAACGTAAGCCCAAAATAACTTATTATCATAGTATAATTATAGCTATTGAAAAATATTTTGAACTTATAGCACAGAAATTTGACGAATTTTTTTTGAATTTTTTCAATTCTTTGACTGTGCATCTTATAATAAGGAAACCATATAGTAACACCGTATTCGAGGATCGACCTTACAAAAGATGAAAACAAAACAATAAAACATCTAAGATTTGTGAACTCACTACAGGTTCTTTTTACTAATCCTAACATTTTATTTGCTTTAGAAACAATATTATTTATGTGAAAAGTAAAAGAGAGTTTACTAACAATAGTAATTCCTAAATCACAAAAACTGGTCACATTTTCAAGAACAATAGACGACAATGTATAATTATAATGTTCAGAACATAATTTGCGACTAAATCTTAAAACCTTACACTTAGGTATGTTAAATTCTAGTCCATTTTTCTTACACCAAAATTCTAAAAAGTTCAAATCAGATTGTATCGTATAACAATCAGAGGGGCAAGTAATTTTTTTAAAAAATTTTAAATCATCTGCAAATAGTAAAAACTGACTAGATTTTATAACATCTTCGATATCATTTATAAATAGAGAGAAAAGCAAAGGTCCTAAATGGGAACCTTGCGGAACACCAGAAGATGGAATTATACATTTTGATTTAAACCCATTTATAATTACAAATTGCCTTTGATTACTTAAATATGAATCTATCCATGATAGTAAAGGATCACCAATTCCAATCTTAGCCAATTTTAATAGTAGAATATGAATATTCACCCTATCAAAAGCTTTTGCCAAATCAGTGTAAATACAATCAGTATCGTAACCATTTTCCATATTATTAACTATATAATTAGTAAATATCATTAAATTAGAAGTTGTCGAACGCCCTTTAAAGAAACCATGCTGTTCATCTATGATGATATTTTTTACATGGAAAGACAAAATGTCACATGTAATTGAATCAAATATTTTGGCTATAGGTGAACCAATACTAATAGGTCTATAGTTTGAAATATCACTACGATGACCTTTCTTATAAATAGGTGTAACATAAGAAATTTTCCATAGTGTAGGAACTTTGGATAATTGTAAAGATCTTTTATATAAAATTTGTAGGGGAAAACATAAATTGTGAGCACATTGTTTTAAAAATAGTGATGGAATACCATCTGGATCTATTTTAACAGAAGAATCTAAGGAAAGTAATTTAGACATAACAAGGTCGGTGGATATTTGAAATGAATTAATATCAACAAGATTGTCTTTCCAATTTGATGAACTCATATTAACATCAGTATCAGCTACCGTATATACAGTTTGAAAATAAGTAGCAAACAAATCTGCAATGGATTTAGAAGAATCAGCTATGATATCACCTAAGAACATAGAACAGGGAAACCCCACTGTATTAGATTTTGATTTCTTAACAAATTACCAAAAACCATTACTATTAACAATAATATTCTGCTCAACACTTCGAATATGATTTTTCCCACACAAGTTCATAGCCAACTTATATGTACATCTAAGATCACAAAACTTTACGTAATCTGAATATAATCCAGTTACCTTAAAATTCCTATGAGCTTCTTTTTTTTTTCACAATAAGAGATCTTGTATGGTTATCAACCCAGTAAGGAAAGTTGTTCTGAGTTTTTTTAACAATAGGAACAAAACGAGTTATAAGAGAATTTATGTGAGAATAAAAATAATACATACAATCATCAAGATGAGAAAAATTTTCCATGGTAAACCAATCAATTTACTCCAGGTAGGTATTAATTACATCAAATGACGCGTTCTTAAAATCCAAATAAGATGTGTATATAGTATGATCTAGTAAAGGCAATAATATGTCACTAATTTTAATAATAAAGGCAGGATGATTTATATCTTTCGGTAATAAGGATAAACATTCTTCAATGATAAGTGCAGTATTACTAAAGCTTAAATCCAAAATTACATCATTTCCATTCAATATAAAGTTGTATTGAAAAAGACCACTCACAGCGAAATTGTCACAAATTAATTCTTCAATCATTGAAACAACATTAACAGGTATTAAATAATTACAATTAGTATCACTTTTCCAACTCAATCCAGGCAAATTGTAATCACCAACAATACATACTGTATTTTCAGGATAATCAGCAATTAAAGAATCAACCAAAGATATGTGGTCAGACTATACAGCTAAGGGTGAATTAGGAGGAAAATACATAGTTCCAATTATAATTTGAATGCCATTAAACGAGATTAGTATCCAAACTTCTTCGCTTTGAAGAGTATCAATTTGCAGTAAAGTAGAAGGAATATTCTTTATAACAGCTATCATTACACCACCACCACGTTCTTTATTCGTCTCTAAAAAGGATCTATCCTTTCTGTAAACAACATATCTATCATTTATAATTTCCCTATTAAAAAATGTGTCATTAAGCCAATATATAATACATTAGAATATAAATCACTGATTTTAGTTCTCAACCCTCTAACATTCTGATAATAAATAGTTAACTCTGAGTTTGATGATCTGGAGTTTTTTGAAAATTTGATTGTCTTCGTACACTACGAGGACTAAAATATTTACGAACAGCAATACCGATTGGCCAAAAAGATGGATCCAAAACTTTTTCACTTAATGAGAAATCGATTGATAATTTAAAAGAACTGTATTTATCAGGGAACTTAGAAGTTAATTGTTTGAGTTCAAAGGATTGAATATTGTCCATATTGTCATTAGCGGTACAAACACACTGTAATTTATTCCTAATATACCTAATCTTCAATCCTACTAATAATAACCCCAGGATTTACTCTTGTGACATGAATGTTCCTTTTTCGTCGCCTAGTGACAGCAACAAACCCATTACTACGATCTTCAAGAGCATCTCCATTTTCATTGGTGAGTTGAGAAGTACCAATTATCAAGGTCTTCATTACCCTCGTTTTACTGGTAGCATTAGTAATATTGGACTTAACTGGAGCATTTTTATTGGGTTCATACACGTTTTGATTATCTTCCACAACAGCTGAGCGAAGGTTTACATTTCTTTTAAACGATATTTTATCCAGGTTTTTCTGAGGACCTTTCTTGTCACTATTACCACTAATTGTAAAGACATTACCTTCAATTTCATTACTAGATAAAACTGATGATTTTTCAGATAAACGATCATCATCCCAACAAGGCAGTTTTAAAGAACTATACGGGGTTTCTCTTGTTGACATCTTCGCCATCTCGAGAATACTTGATTTTAGAATCTGAACCTCATCTCTAAGTTTTTTAATTTCGATCATTAGAGGAGACACAGCCTTGTCGACCATTTTATTTAACAGATTGGAAAATTCATCACAATTCAAGAACTTTAAAACATCTTGAGCAGAAGATGTAGAACTATTGGAACTTATGGCCTTTATTTTTATTATATCCTTGGCTGATTCTGATATTATACGAGTATTTTACTACAATCTTGGCTTTTATCATCTCTAGCAACCACCCCAACTGTTTTTCTAAAGTCTCAATCAGTAGATGAAAGGAAAAGTGAATCAGAGTCAAAGACTTCCTCATAATCATAACAGCCTAAAAGAAAAAAAAATGTATATCACCTATAATTTCGTCTCATTTATTTGCTGTCTTTATACAACTTTTTAAGCATATTAGCAATTAGTACTTCTTTGGTATGTTTACTTACTTAGGCCCGCCCACCCGCCCTCTATTTTCTTAGCAGGTATGTCATTTGCCAAAATCGATCTTATTTTAGTAGGTACTAACCCCGCCCACCCACCCTCTGTTTTTTTGTATGGTATCTCATTTGCCAAAATCAGTTTTATCTTAATTACGTAACTTCATTTTTGTCTCATGCTCATATTATGTTTATTTCGTTTGTTATTAATTTTCTCCATTTTTTTTTGTTATGTTATTTATCAAATAATCCGAGCATCTTCATTAAAAAAAATCATTGATGACGTCATAACTTGTACAAATTTGATGTAATTTTTTTTTGACAAATGTCAAAAGATAATACACAAAAAAGTGTAAAGTAATCGGTTCGGCGGTTCCAGAACCTATCCATCCTTCGTGAAAAATGTTTTAATAATTTCCACTTTTATCACTTCCACGTAAATCTCGGCTGACAACCTGACGGCATCCGACTTTTCCGTGACTCTCCTGTTTCAGCTCGAAATGGAAACGGAACGCGCCCATGTGGCAGGAAAAGTCGTGTCATGACGATCGTAACTCGGAGAACGCGTTCGGATTTACATTTAGCTGCATATAATCTCGCAGAGCAATCTGACCACATGTGGGCATTTAATAACAAATGTCAAATGCAAAATGCCGGAAATCGCGACTCCATGTACCACATTCGTTTGTGTCTGCTGCTGGCGGCGACAGGACAACAAACCTATGTTAAGGTAGTGCTCATTTCTGTGGCGGTTGGCGATTTTTAGTCAGGCGAGGGAGGTCGAGTGTGATATTAGATATTAGCTTGATTGAAGGATATTGCGGTCTGTTTAGATGGTGACGGAAGGATAGCTTCGATTTTATTTATTTGTATTTCTGCAGTCGATGAAATGTAAAAATGACAAGACTGACGAATAAAATTGAAAATTTAGTAAAAAATTATGATTTTTTTTTAATCCCTATAATTTTCATTTGTTTCAGAGGAATCTTCTGATGACTGATACTAACACTAACGTCTTATGTACTGAAGGAATATTTTGCAGTGTATATTGGGTGAGTTATAATTTTTTTTATTGTGATAATGTTATTTTACAACTCCATCTGTTCGATAAACGGTGTATACAGCTATAATGTTTGAACCAAACATACTTTTCTGCACCTTCCATTCACCGTCCCATTGTTTACACAACAAACCATCACCATCGAGGTGCCGTGACGTCATCCGCACCGCAGGGGTCCATCGGTTTTTTCTGCTCCGCGATCAACTATGCTGTAGATAATTAGAAAAATCGCGTAAAATCCTTCAAGGTTCCGTAACTCCGTAGAAAAATCGTTTCGGCCGCGTCAGCTATCATTTTCACAACGATAATTAAAAACAGAAACAACAAAACGTAATGTGAACATGAAGGCTGCGTGCGTGTGGAACAAAAGGTTCCTCTTCACTTTAATTTACAAAATAATGTGAATGTAAACCTGGGCTTGCACTTGCAGGAAGTGACTCAATAAGCCGTTACAAATCGCCGTAATTACCGACGTATCAATTAAATTATTAACTTTCGTACGCGAGAGTGCGCTTTATTAATTATTATTTAGGGCATCTGGGTCGAAAAATGCGCGCTTTGAACGGGTGTCGTGAACTTGTTGCTGGAGATGATTGTACGATCGAAGGAGTGGGTTGGTTACGTGATCGGGGCCATCCGTGCTGATAAATGGTCACTAGTAAGTGAAAGTTGAATTACCGCCGGATGGGTATGTGTCTACGGAGATGGGTATGGGCTCACACTAGACGATGGGCCGACTTGCTGACAGCTTAATATACTTGGTTGATAACTGACAAATTTTAATGACCTATAATTAAAAAAAAAACGTTTTTTCAGTGAATTTTGACTAAAATTTGACATACAAAAAAATCAAAATTTTATGAAGATTATTATTAGTTTCGAGAAGAACTGCTGACAAAGGTAATTGCATCATAATTCTTAAGAAGGTTGATTATATTACTAAAGTTAATAATTCTCTAAACAATGGCTCCTTTAATAAATACAAGGTTGCTAAAACGTATGGAAGAAGCTTGAATATCTAGGGAACGGTTAGTTGGATGTTCTTGCAATTTGGACAAAATGTAGCCCCGCCCACCCGCCCTGTCTCAATTGTGATGATTTTTTTATTGGTCGTGGACTAAGGGGACGGAGCCTAATTGCAAAATCCATATTTTCTAACAAAAATTTACCATTTTAAACTTGTTTTAAGTTTCTAAGAATAAAAAGAAACATCACAATTGAGATGGGGTGGGTGGGCGGGGTTTATATTTTGTCTTTTTTTCTTAACATACATAGTGTTCTTTGAACAACACGATACTTATCTTTAATTTCTTGTAAAGAAATAATTATTTTGCAGTTAAGCTACGCCCCCTTGGTTCACGGCGAATAAAAAAATCATCACAATTGAGATAGGGTGGGTGGGTGGGGCTTATATTTTGCCCTTTTTCCTTAATATACGTAGTCATCTTTTTCCAACAGGAAACTTAAAACATGTTTAAAATAGAAAATTTGTGTAAGGAAATATCGATTTTCAATTGACTGCGCCCCATAATTACAAAACAGGGTTGGCATGATTTAAATCATTATTTAAATCGTGATATATTTTCATATTGATAAATAGTGGAATGTAAACAAAAATCGAAAACAAGCTGCATCCACCCCTTCTTTGAATTTCATTGGCTTATTTCATTTACTGTGAGATGAAAACTGAATTCTATTTTAGAAAGTGGTCAAATCTAATTAAAAAAACAAAAAAGTGGCCCCGCCCACCCACCCGGTTTTCTTAGTGTTCACCCACTATATTGGACTAAAAGTGGATTTTGTATTGACAAATAGTGTAATATTAACAAAAAATGTAAAACTAACCCCACCCACCTCCGCTTTGGAATTTCGTTGGTTTATTTGAAAGAATGTGACATGAAAATTCAAATCTATTTTAACAAGTTGTCAAATTCAATTAAAAAGAAATTCAAAGTGGCCCCGCCCACCCACCGCGTTTTCTTAACGTTCACTCATTTTATTGTAGAAAAAATGAATTTTTGGAAATTTTGGATTCACTTTACGTGTTTGGAAGAGATATCCTGACGGGGATTTCAGATTTGTAACTAGCGGAAGATTATGTACAATTTGATTCCAATTTTCGCTCGATTGAATAAATTTTAATCATTGTTTTGGAAAATTTTTGAAAATTTTTATTACACTGATTATTGATGCAGATATGGTGGCAGCGATTTCAGATTTATGACTAGCAAAATATTATCAAAAAATTGACACCGATCTTCGGTCGATTGAACCGATTTGAATCATTTTTTGGAAAATTTTGGGAAATTTTTAATTTACTTTTCGATTTGAATTGGAACAGATATCGTGACGGCGATATCATATTTGTAAAAGGCAGAAGATTATCTACAATTTGACAGCACTTTTTGGGTGGATTGAAGCAATTTTAACAATTTTTTTGGAAAATTTTTGAAAATTTTGGATTCATTTTTCGTATTTATTGGAAGAAATGTCCTGACGGGGATTTCAGATTTGTAACTAGCGGCAGATTATTTACAATTTGATTCCAATTTTCGTTCGATTGAATAAATTTTGATCATTTTTTTGGAAAATTTTTGAAAATTTTGAATACACTTTTCGTGAGTATTGATGCAGATAAGGTGGCAGCGATTTCCGATTTATGACTGGCAAAAGATTATCTACAATTTGACACCAATCTTCGGTCGATTGAACCAATTTTAATCATTTTTTGGAAAACTTTTGAAGATTTGGAATTCACTTTTCGATTCTATTGGAACAGATATCGTGACGGCGATTACAAATTTGTAAAAGGCAAAAGGTTATCTACAATTTGACAGCAATTTTTGGGTGGATTGAACCAATTTTAACAATTTTTTTGGAAACTTTTTGAAAATTTTGGATTCATTTTTCGTGTTTATTGGAAGAGATATCCTGACGGGGATTTCAGATTTGTAACTAGCGGCAGATTATCTACAATTTGATTTCAATTTTTGTTCGATTGAATAAATTTTAATAATTTTTTTGGAAAATTTTTGGAAATTTTGAATTCACTTTTCGATTTTATTGGAACAGATATCGGAACGGCGATATCAAATTTGTAAAAGGCAGAAGATTATCTGCAATTTGACAGCAATTTTCGGTGGATTGAACCGATTTTAACAATTTTTTTGGAAAATTTTTGAAAATTTTGGATTCACTTTTCGTGTTTATTAGAAGAGATATCCTGACGGGGATTTCGGATTTGTAACTAACGAAAGATTATCTACAATTTGATTCCAATTTTCGTTGGATTGAATACATTTTAATCATTTTTTTGGAAAATTTTTGAAAATTTTGAATTCACTTTTCGTGATTATTGATGCAGATATGGTCGCAGCGATTTCAGATTTACAACTAGCAAAAAATTATCAACAATTTGACACCGATCTTCGGTCGATTGAACCAATTTTAAACATTTTTTGGAAAATTTTTGGAAATTTTGAATCAACTTTTCGATTTTATTAGAACAGATATCGGGACCGCGATATCAAATTTGTAAAAGGCAGAAGATCATCTACAATTTGACAGCAATTTTCAGTGGATTGAACAGATTTTAACAATTTTTTTTTATTTTTGAAAATTTTGGATTCACTTTTCGTGTTTATTGGAAGAGATATCCTGACGGGGATTTCAGATTGGTAACTAGCGGCAGATTATCTACAATTTGATTCCAATTTTCGTTCGATTGAATAAATTTTAATCATTTTTTGGAAAATTTTTGAAAATTTTGAATACACTCTTCGTGATTATTGATGCAGATATGGTGGCAGCGATTTCAGATTTATGACTAGCAAAAGATTATCAACAATTTGACACCGATCTTCGGTGAATTGAACCGATTTTAACAATTTTGTTGGAAAATTTTTGAAAATTTTGGATTCATTTTTTATGTTTATTGGAAGAGATATCCTGACGGGGATTTCAGATTTGTAACTAGCGGAAGATTACGTACAATTTAATTCCAATTTTCGCTCGATTGAATAAATTTTAATCATTCTTTTGGAAAATTTTTGAGAATTTTGAATTCACTTTGAGTGATCATTGATGCAGATATGGTGGCAACGATTTCAGATTTATGACTAGCAAAAGATTATCAACAATTTGACACCAATCTTCGGTCGATTGAACCAATTTTAAACATTTTTTGGAAAATTTTTGGAAATTTTGAATTCACTTTTCGATTTTATTGGAATAGATATCGTAACGGCGATTACAAATTTGTAAAAGGCAGAAGATTATCTAAAATTTGACAGCAATTTTCGGTGGATTGAACCGATTTTAACAACTTCTTTGGAAAATTTTTGAAAATTTTGGATTCATTTTTCGTGTTTATTGGAAGAGATATCCTGACGGGGATTTCAGATTTGTAACTATCGGAAGATTATCTACAATTTGATTCCAATTTTCGTTGGATTGAATAAATTTTAATCATTTTTTTGGAAAATTTTTGAAAATTTTGAATTCACCTTTCGTGATTATTGATGCAGATATGGTGGCAGTGATTTCAGATTTATGACTAGCAAAATATTATAAACAAATTGACACCGATCTTCGATAGATTGAACCGATTTTAATCATTTTTTGGAAAATTTTGGGAAATTTTTAATTCACTTTTCGATTTTATTGAAACAGATATCGTGACGGCGATATCAAATTTGTAAAAGGCAGAAGATTATCTACAATTTGACAGCAATTTTCGGTGGATTGAACCGATGTTAACAATTCTTTTGGAAAATTTTTGAAAATTTTGGATTCATTTTTCGTGTTTATTGGAAGAGATATCGTGACGGGGATTTCAGATTTGTAACTATCGAAAGATTATCTACAATTTGATACCAATTTTCGCTCGATTGAATAAATTTTAATCATTTTTTTGGAAAATTTTTGGAAATTTTGAATACATTTTTCGTGATTATTGATGCAGATATGGTGGCAGCGATTTCAGGTTTATGA